TGGATGTGCCGATGAGTGAAGAGTCAATTGTCTCGTCAAACGAGTCCACAGTTGATGTCTCGTTGGGTTCACTCAATATCAGAGACTATAAGACTGAGCGCACGAATCAATTGGGTTTTGAACCGCAAAAAGAGATCGTTTACAATAGATATCTGCCGTACAGTCCGGCTCTCGATGACGAATGTCTTCACTATTTGTCCCAAATTAAGGCAAATATCGCCCGAACTCTTCTCCTCAATGACAGACACGGATTTCAATGGATTTCGGATCTGTCCAAGTATTGCATCCATTCATTTGATCCAATAATGATGACTCACTTTACTGTTTGTTTGTCCATCGCATAGATATCTCCGACTCTATGGCACCACCTTTTCAAAGGAAGACCACATTTACTTCATTAACACGTTGTATGAAGTGATACTAATCCCTGACCTGGAGTTGAACCGAGTCTCGCATTACGCTAATGTGTTGTCCACATTACTCAAGTCTGTAGTTGTTGTCAGCCATGTCTCCACTTATTAATTGAGTATCTGTTTTGTCCCGCAATAGAAAGCGGGAACTGATCACCAGAGAAGACCTGATTATCAGATGGCGTCCACTATACGAGTTGTACGAACGGACACTGTTTTCGCACTACGAGAACCTCGGAATGCTTTTCATACCAGACAACTACGAGAATGCCGTCAAAAATCTGATCCGTATGTGTCGGCCGTACTTCTCGGTTGAGTCCACACAAGAGATGCTGGAAGAATGGCGACCAATGCTGTGTCCGTTCGACACAGAGATGATTAAAGTGACCTCTCATATGGAGTTGTTTCTGCCGACCGCTTTGCCGCCCGAACACCACTCGCAGGGATTCAAACTGTGGTTAAACGAGTTGATGGAGTTGTGGAACTCATCGCAAAACACGCCGTCGTGGGAACAAAGTCTGATCTCACTGTTCGCACGACTGGCCAATGACTCGATTGGTTACGTGGACTGGAATCCGTATATACCGGAGATATTCACGCATTTGATTCGCAGTTTTAATTTAATGGGCGGTTCGCACAAAGTGCAGATCACCAGAGGTTACAGTGTATTCAACATCAATTCTGTGGTCTTATGGGTGGTGGCAATGCTGGGCCCCGGCAGTCAGTGTCAGTCACATGTGACCAAACTGTTCAAAGCCGTTGAGTCCTATTATCATCCGTCAAATACGGGCAAATGGAATCTAAAGCTCCAACAGTTGCTCTTCAAACTGCCCTCGAGTTTCATCAGTCGTATACATCGGGAGCGCTATAAGAAGCCGTCGTGGAGGACACCGATTCCCGATTCACACAAACTGACTGAAGAGGACATCAATGAGTTTGTGGGCAGTATAGTCAACGTTGTGATGATATCGATGTTCAGTCGGTTCGGCAGCGCTGAGGCGGCCACCGCTCTCCAGAGCCTATCTCTGTTGAGACCCGAGAAAGTGATTCCACCGGTTCTCGAGAAGATGTACTCGTCGTTGGAGACGCTAACAGAGCCGCACCGACTGTCGGCTTCCATGCAGTGCGTGGCGTCCATCGCCCGGG